AATATATAGCAAAGATTTTGTTTACTTAATTAAGGCAAAACACCCGAGGGCTATTTGCCTGAGAGAAGGAATGACTTCATGGAGGACTTTCTGAAGAAAATTGACTCATATTTATGTTACTCATGGGAAAAACCACGAAAATGCCCATGCAGCCAGCCCGTTGGCCTGGAACAGAACCAAGGTCGAATTACCAGCGTTCAGCAACTTTAATGCTCAGTCGGCTGGTAGCAAAGGAACTCTGAAATGCTCGTAAAATCTACTCAATTTTTTAATAATAATTTATTGTACTAGTTAATAATTGGATTTGTTTTATACACAAATGACAGGAATAAAAACTGATGTCGTCGTTAATCCGAATTTCGGATTAGCTTAAATTGTGTGTTCAAAACGTGGTTTTTACATTCGCGAAAATCGTGTTTTGGGAGACATTTTAGGCTTAAAGTTCGAAATGTAGAGAAAAAATTTAGATAGCAATATGGCAGCATGGAGTTTCTCGCCAAAAATGTTTGGCGAGAAATTTGGCGACTTGAGGGCGCATATCAGAGTAGTTCCAACATTTCTTCACTTAAGCAAATATATTTTGATTGCTTGGCCATAATCTTAATAATTATAATAATTATTGTTTTTATTATTTTTTCAAGTTTTCTTGTAGGGTCATGCATTATTATTTAATAATGCGTTAATCAGTGGTAAAATAAAAGCATCGGTGAAAATTTTTTGTTTCACTTTTGTGAAAATCTGTAAAATAATTTTTAAAATTTTTATGTCACAATATAATTGTTTTTGTGAATCTTTAATAGAATAAATCTCAGTTTGGGAGAAATTTTAAAAACATAAATTTAGCGATTAATACTGAATTTATGTTATTAAAATTTCTCCAAACTGAGAGGATTTAGTATTTATCACTAAATTTAACATAAATTTAATGATTAATACTAATGTTTAATTTAATGATTTATTTAAATTATTTAATTTAAATTTAGTGATTAATACTAAATTTATGTTATTATTACAAAATGTTAAACTCTGTGAAAAATTTCTGCATTTATGATATATGGTCAAATGATGGCGTTTTGTTCCCTTAATGACTTTCACACAATGACTTTTAAAGATCTGCCCTTTGAAACTGAGCTGGAATCCAAGATCTAGTCATTTTCCACCGAGAATGTTATACCCTCGGTATCGGAGCCAAGCTAATTTCAGAATAAAATTTCGGGGTCCTATTTTTATTGGGGCTACCTTTAGTGGGGACCTAAAGGACGGTGAAAAGAGCAGAATTAAGCGCATCTTTATGAACTGATTACTTCTTCACTATTTAAGCAAGAAATGAGTAAGGTCTCTTATTATATTCACATATGGATTGACATAATTTTGCAATGACTACGGTCCAGCTGACCAGCTGAGATTTTAGCATGTCGGCTGTTGAATGGCACCTTTGTTTAGCTTCTTAATGTTGATGAAAACACTCCGGAAGACACATCCGTTCTCGTTTACTGTTTTTCTCCTTTAGGTTTTCGGGAGAACTTTCGGCTTGACAGCATGCCACAAAGACATTATATACTTACGAATATATGCCTTTTCCGGGATTTGAATTAGGACACAGAGCTATAATAGCCCGCTTCGCTACCGTCAGTCCGACTGATCGGCGGATTTTTTACTTGTTTTTAAAAGAATCAAGAAAACTCTTTTACATCTCAATCTTTATACCTTACAGCCAAAAAACGAAGCTCTGAATTGAAATCTACTTAAAATAAAATTAGCGGTTTATATATTACTTCCACTTTCCAGGTTTTACATTTTATGTGTTGTATTTTAATATTATTGTCCTGCTTATGCAAAAATTTTGCCTCAACTTTCTTTTCTTATTTCATGGCAAAGGTAATGAATCATTGCTTTGTATATGTGGGCATATTTTTTTTAAGCTCGTAAGTGCTGAGAGAGAGCTTCGTGCACTAAAACATTTTTTAAATTGTGTTTCAAAATGCTATTTCTTTTCGTGCTTTTGGAAAATAGTAGTAGAATTTTATATTCTAACAAAAGCATTTTATCAGTCTATTCTTCCGAAACGATGTTTCATGATTGCTATGCCTATTAATTCCCAATTTCTCCAAAGTTCCGTTTCGAAGATAAGAATTTAATATTTCATTTTATGATTCATTTAGAATTGCTTCTGCGAACCATTCTTGAAATGTATAGCAATCAATCACTTTTAGCAATAAAATTGGTTTTTTGTTCCCATTTCATCTTAGAATTAAATTGTATGCTTTTTTAGTTGTATATAAAACTAAATATATACTAGTGTCCTACTCGTGCATGTATATTTTGTTCGTGCAGCTATAGTTATACGTTTGTTGTAAAATTTTGTTACATGCATTGTAAGGATCCTAAGTTTTACTAACGCTTATTTTATTTTAAAACTGTACTATCACTTCTTATTTTCTACTTCCGGCCAGAATTAACTGCTTTAACTTGTTTATGCAAATTGTTTTGCTAACGCCCAAGTACTTAAGTTGTGGCTTTTTGCCAAGCGGGAGAGAGGAGGAGTTTTAGGAAGCAAGCCGCTTGCCACTGTAGTTTTACGAGTTTTCACTCGGTTGCTAGTTGCCTTTAAGGCCACAGGTTTAGCCCTCTTGATATTTGCAGATGTATTGTAGTTTCAGCAGCTCGGCATACTACATACGTACATTTTTAAAATAAAGGCCAGTCTTAGTGCTAGGCATTTGTATACTAATTCAAAGTTAGCTTTTAGTTAGAGTCTTAGTTAGTAGTTTTTATATTCTTACGTTCAGACCACAAGTGGTTGGTCTCTGTATTCCGAAGTTCGGAAGGATCCTGTAAAGAGAAAAATAAAGGGTTCGTATACCCTTCCTGCTTGTGTTGTCTACTTCACACCTTCTTGAACCTAGCTTGAGTAAGCTCCCTGTTCCTATTCAGGATCATTCATGTTTCCAAAGCAAATCAAAAGAAACACAAGTCCTGACAGCATAAGCAGTGCGATAGAATCAGCAATCACCATCTTCTAGATGATATAAATATGTAATCTTTAGTAGACACGAGGTAAGATAACTCCAAGTTCACTTACGAAGACATTTCAGTGTTACACCTAGTGTCATCTGCAATTTATTGAAATACTTTTAAGAGTTAAAGATTTATATATAGATAGTTTGGGCAAACATTTCGAAGAGCCACGCTGTCAAATGACAGAGCTTTTGCTCTTTCAGCCAAGTAACGGGTAGCAGTCGTTTCTGAAATCTTAATTGTCAAGCATTTCTGTTTCTCTAAGGCTTCATGAGATGGAGCGTTTGTTTAGAAAACCTTCTGCCTGCGTCCTGCTTGTTCCTTGGCTCAAGAAAATGCATCTGGCACACTGCAAAGAACCATTAGTCTTAAAACTCAGTGAGCCTGAGCTCTTTTCAGTAAAGAATCTAGATTGAGCTTAGAGATTGATTTTCGAACGTCTTTATCTGAAGAGACATGGATCCGATACCATTCCTCCTCTATTAAGAAAAGGGACCATTAAAGGTTTAGCAACGTCATAGTCTTAGCAGATACCATGTTAGATTGTGGCATGCCACTTCACATGTTTGACTACACAAGCCTACTACTCCACAAATCATGGCTACTCAGAAATGTGCAAAAGAGATCTGGAATCTTACTTGCAGCTTTATTGAAGAGCTGTTTTGGTGGTCAGTTTCTCTTTCTGGACGACAACCTCATCCAGATAGACAAGATTACTTCAAAGGAACGATATTCAACAGCCTGATTGAACAACCAGATATCTAGACCCAAGACCATTATCAAGCTTATCGAATAAGCTTCTCGTATTTTCTACCTGATGATAGGAACTTGAGCGAATTCTCTTTATTGCCCGTTATATGACTGAGGACACCTGTTCGCAGTCTAAACCCTAATTCACATACGTAGCCGTTATAGCTTGAAAGTGCTACAGGTTTTCTTATAAAGGCGGGACGGAACTTTTTCGGTTTCAAAATGTTCTATTTTGCATTATAATGAGTTTTGTTTGAAAGAAAAAATAAACAAATCTAGTAGGATTTTAGAAAGGCAGTAATCTTAACAGTCCAGAATGACATACAAACGCCGTTATTACTTTAATAGATCTTAATAAAGATAGTTATTTTCTGGCTAAGCGGACGGATAAGAGAGCAAACAACGATAACACTGTGAGTTTTGTCCTTTATCGTAGCAATGCAGTTATGCCTTGTATCATCTTATTAGACCTTTTAAACTTATTTTGCTTTATTCCCCTAAGTAACTCGACATATTGAGGTATATTTTAATATTGATTGCTGATAACAGAGACAATAAAGTTATTACCCAAATTTTAACTATTCCAATAAAAATAGCACACATTTCGAAATCTGTAAATTGCATGAAATATCTTCTTGTAGTTGATTATAGCGTTTGTTGTAAGTTCAAAGTTATCTTTCTTGATCTAAGATTAAAGTAAGGTTAGTAAGTTTAGTAAGTTAATTTATACAAATTAAACAGACCGCTTGACACTGGGGAGTTCATTAAGGCTTTAAGCTTTACAGGAACGAGTTATCTGTGTAAAAATATCTGTAAATTCTTTGCATTCAAAAAAGAAAGGATTCAGACGTTTCCTTAGAAAGCCTTCTATTAAAACAGTCTTCCCAAGAAAGGTATTTATTGAATGCTTTTGGTATATTCATTTGCCTTTTACCATTATTCCTCACAATTAATATTCCAACTTGTCTCTAAATTGCAACTATTTTAAATTATTTGCGAACAATGAAGAATAACGTTTTAATATTTGAAACTCTTGAAGTAATTTAGATGTATAGGTGTATTTTGACACAAACTGAACAGTATTACATCTATGTTCTTTCCTTAAAATATGCATAAAGATGAATAATGATTCAGAAAATAATGCTGAATAGTTGCATTTTAAGTAGATTTAAGCGGAGCCAGTTAATGTAGAATATTTCTGAAGCATAAAAAAACTATGCTTTTCTTTATAGCCTTGCAGGTGTCTCTCGCAGCGCTACGATAGCGGCCGCCTATATTATGTCTGTAACAAGCCTATCATGTAAAGATGCACTCAAAGTAGTTCGAGGTGCGAGAAACATCGCCAATCCCAATTACGGGTTCCATTCCCAGCTCAAAGAATTTGAAGCCTATCTTCTAACGACGGTGAGTTTCTTTCTTTCTTGAATAACAAAATTTGCACACAAAATATTTAAATATCGTCTTTAAGATGCACTAAAATTTCATTGTCATATTCGACTTTATTTTCTTAACATGTAATATAAAATTTAATTTTTTAACTTAATGTTGAACATAAAATCTGAAGAATATGGCATATAATTTCATACAACTAAGTCAAAACAGTTTAATAGTCTACGAAATCTAATAGTTAGATTTATTAGGCTGTACTAATATACTCCTTAGTAATAGATTCTCTAGTACAATGCACATGAATTTTAGCAAGTGAACCAAATTTCATTTAAAATTAAATCACTAAACGAAAAGGTCCAAAATACATATTTAAATATTTAACTACCTATGTTTTAATTTATATTTATGCTGGTAAAGAGTTCAAATGCTGTTTACTAAGGATTGATGGTTTCGGCAAGGAATCTATAAGTAAATGGTACACGCATATACTACAGAAATTTACAAAAATGTAAAGATGCAGCTCATTTAACATCGTCTCGGTAAAATCATTAATTTTAAATTATACAGATATATGAATGTTTTTATTTATATTTCAGCTTAAGAGTATTATTTTCTTAGTTTTAGTTTTAACTGTCGAAAATATTTCTCATGGTCTGTTGAAAATATCTCCATTCACTTTAATTCGGAAAAGCGAATTCTGCCGTATATCGATAAAATTCTTATTTGAGGTTTGGTTCACATTATCAGAATATCTTCATTTGTACTTTCGGTATTTAGAAATGATAAATCAAGATTTATTAAAGATCCAGTTCCAAAACAAACCAAGACTGGCTCCAAGGTTAATGTTGATGTCTGCTGTTAGGGCAACAGGCAAAAGCTGATGGACTGGCTAGTATTGATCGAGGGAGTGTCCGTTACACTATTGAATCTTTATTTGGAAACATGCCTAAATCTGATTTTTTGCTCCTTTTCTGGAGGTGCTTGAATAACTAAACATTCTTTTCGTGCTGTTCTGATTTCTGCACGAACGTTTATTTCTTAGCCCGTAACTGAGTAATAAATTTCTATCGTTTGCGAACCACAATAATCTTTATATTTTTGAACTCCATTGAAAACTCTATCACGAATCAATTAGCGAAGCGAATAGTATTAAATGTTAATGAAAGAAAATGGTATAAAATGAAAGAAATGTTTAAATCAGCTGATACTTGACACAAAGGAAAGGTTACCAGTTCGTGTGAAAACATATAAAAATTATTCATATTCTGTTTATGTTAAAATTATTCAAATATGTCAGTGTGTCACAAATGAATCTACATCTATAACGTGTTATGTGTAATAATAGTTTGAAATGATGTGACATGTAAAGTAGATGAAGATTAGTATAGCAGCAATGTTTTCTTCATAATGAATAGTCATGTATACTTTATCAATACATTTGCTTTTAGACATAGCATTACTTTGCCGTAAAAATGAAGATGCAGTAGTGGTATATTTGACAGAGTTTAAGCATAGTAAACAATAATATATAAAAAGGTATTAATGGGCATTTATGTAGGAGACACGGTAGTTACTTGGCATTTTCTGACATACATTTCATATCGCTTATCTGGCAGTGAAAGGAGGAAGCAGCAAAATATGTGTTTAGGAAAAAAAGACAAACATTAGAATAGGGACGTATCCGTTAACAATTTTGAAAATGAATGTAGGTTTCTCACTAGAGGTTGTTATTATTAAATTATATTACTCACAGCGAAAGATATCAGCTTTTATGGCATTGAGTTGAAATTTAGAATCTTTGATATTAATATAAGACTCTTAATGTGTTTCACATGAGCAATAGACTGTTTCAAAAGTTTAATAAAAAGAAGGTTCTATTATGTCAAACCGTAGTGTATCAAAATATCAAACTCTCGTGTATCAAAACTCTAGTGTATCAAACTTTCATCCATACAAAACGGGGTATGAAAGAAAATGTGTTTGAGGAAACTTAATACTAGAATACAATCTATTTTATTAGAAATTTAGTTTTAAAATTTAGAAATTTCTGTAGCTCATGACATTTCACTGGTATTCTCGAAATCACAAGAAAGTCTTATTCCTAATAATTTCTTATAGAAACAGATGAAAAGAAGAGCTGTGATAATTTTTAGACGTCTTTTTATGGGAATCTAATTATTTGTTTTGGTTTGCTTCTGCATTAAAAAGAACTTTACAACAAAATTTTTTACAATGATAATGATTAAAATGTTCTTTATTAATAACTAAATGTATAACAGAACAGTAATAACTTTTAGGACGGACTGCCCTAAAAAACTTTTAATTTAATTACATAAATCTTTAATTAGGATGTGCATAGATTTGTAGAAATTCGTACTCGAATTTAAAGGAATTTTCAATTTTATGCAACTAAATTTTACTACTATTTCTTAAATATTTAAAATTAATAATACCACTAATAAAAATGGTTTCGTGTCTGTCCCAATAACTTTTGTAACTAGTTTTGTATATTTTTAAATCGTAATAGCATTAGTAGAAATATGTTCATCGTTATAACTACATTTTGTTTATCTGTTACGGCAATAAAATATAGGATATTTGTTATTAAAGAGTTTCTGCAGGAGGTATCTGAATGTACCTTTAATTTTATGTAATATAATGCTTTAGTAATCATTTATTTAGAAAATAATTTTCTGAGTCGAAAGCAAGCATTTCGTGATTATTTATATTATTTCAAGGTTAACATTAATTATTTCATCGAACATGAATATACTCCTTAGTAATAGATCTAATAATTTGGAAATAAAATTTCTTTTTGGTGGTTAGCTTCCAATCTTTAATGAAAACCGAAACTTTAAAATGGAAGTCAGTGCCAATAATAGCGACGAGTGAAGAAACATTAGTCCTCTAATGGAAAACCCAGATATAGGATCATCATAAGGTTAGAAAAGAATTCTGCACTGTGTGCGGGTAATCTACTTTTGATTTCTCATTTTCCTCTTTTTTTAAACTTCTGTTGATATTAAATATTATGATAAGGATTGATATTTAATGTCGCATCATGAATACTGGGTGGCACCTCTTTTCTAGTTAAGGTAAAACTCTCAGATCTAAATTTTGTGTTTACGCATATAATGAAACGAAACTCTGGAAACTATTAAGCTTTTGTAAAACAAAATATGTTCTCCCTGTCTATAATGAAACTTTATAACTGCAATAGGGAATGTATTCATAGTTTTGATTCTGGTCTAGTAACGAAAAGGTTCTCTATTTATTGCATGAAATAGTCAGAAACAAAACGAAAATGTTATACTTAATAATAAAATATATTTCGCCTTTACGTTTTATTTGCCCACTGCTTAAAAAGCAGCATTATTTTCGTTCACGCATTTAACAAAGCACAACGTTTTCTGCATAAAAATATTGTTGTAGCTTGATAACTTTCGACTAAAAGATGAGGAATAGGAGACATTTCAATTAACATGGCTAGTGTGCTGGTATTTTTTGAAATGGAAACCCAAATTTCTGTGGCTTCATCATTTGTGTCTTTTATTCCAGCGTTTTAGGCATTTTTAATCAAAGACCTCCCATACCTCAGCTTCATTTGACTTTTGGTTGATTTGACTTGTGTGAAGTCATAATATCTGACTCTGATAAGGTAGTTTAGTGTATTTCAAGTAAAAATTGTCACGCTCAACACATGCTGAGTTTATGCTTGTGTTTGATAGCCAGGCGATACAGCCTCATGTAAAGATATTCTTTTCATGTAATTGGATAGTGTTGATCTTGGCACACCACATTCAGCTGATTGTGGGTGAACTTCTGTGACAGCAGCTCAGATCGCTTACTGAAGAAAATTTGTTAGGATACAGAAACTCGTCGTAGCCGGTTGGAAAGAGCTCGACAGATTTAAGGGTGGACGCTGGGCAGGTGGCTGGTGGCGTGGCTTCGGTTGTGTCGTCGTTGTCAGCCTGTTCTCCTGGTTTTGAGGTTTTTGAGATCCGAATGGACCCGATTTTGTCCGCCTCCTTCGTTTGCAGGAGAACTGGGATTAGAACGCAGCAGGTGTTCGATGATAGGCGCGGGGCTAGAGCTGTCTCGACGTCAATCGCTACGTCGTGCCCGTGGGGGTGCTGAACGGCTAACGGCGAGTAGATCGGGTGCTCACCCAACCCGTCTTGAAACACAGACAAAAGAGTCTAACATGTGCTCGATTCAATAGGTCTTGACCATGCCCAGATGCGCAATGAAAGCAAAGGGCGAAAACACGCCGTTTGAGTTGGGATCTTGGGACTTTCCAATGTTCAAGGAGCACCAACGACTCGTTCTGTCTAATTTATCTCGGTTGGGGGGGACTATGAGCGTACACGTTGGGACCTGAAAGATGCTGAACTATGCCCGGACAGAACGAGGCCAGAGGAAACTTTCTAAGATTCATGCTCCAAAGTTGTACCAATTTTTCCTTATCAAATAAATATCTCTGTTTGAATGTCAGCAGATTTGCTAAAGGTTATAAACTGAATTGAGTGAGATTTGAGTTCTTCGGGTTTCTAAATTCTTCATTGACCTTATGAATGTAAAAAAAAAAAATTAAATGGTTTTGTTTTCAAATATTCAGTCACAGTAGTTGCGGAATTAATTTACGTTTACTACTAGAATTATCATTAGCAGGTGAGAAAAAGCAGCAACATATAAACATGTGCATGAAGTCATGCAAGTATAAAAAATCAAGAAAAAAACTAATGCAAAGCAGTGAAAACATTTGTCTCTTCACAGTTAAATGTAAGATAAGAAATTCATCTGCATTCCAGTTTGAATGCAATTTATGCAAAAAATGATAGAAATGCAAATTAATAGTTTTAGGAAATGAACAGCGTGGCATTTAAATAATGTGGGTCTTTATTTTAAAATTCCTGTAAACCTGGAAGTTAAACACTGAGTCTATTGTTACGAATTTGGTATTTAAAAAGCAAATGTTAGTTGAATTATAAATTAAATGGTTTTATTTCTCGCGC